GGCGAGGACAGACCTGCACGGCCCCCCCCCCAATAGCTAGCAATCCAAAACAGTCCAGTGGCACCTTTAAGACCAAGTTTTGTTCAGGTACAAGCTCCCCCTCCTCTGTGAGGACAGATCTGCACATCCCCCCCCCCAATAGCTAGCAATCCAAAACAGTCCAGTGGAGCCTGAGCGGTGGGTGTTGCCTTCTGACACACTTCCGGTGATGTCAGGGGGTGTGGCATATGCAAATGTTATGCTAATGAGTTATGCTAATGAGCTCCTGCACCTCTTTTTCTATGAAATGACCCCTGGCGACGCCTCTCGGACCTGCTTGAACTCTGCTTCTTGGACCCTTGGCTGGCTTCCCTTGTGTATGACTCTCGGACTGGACTCTTGACTTAACGCTTCTGGTTAGTGATTCCGTCTCGACCCCTGGGTCTTGGCTGAGTCTGCCCTGACCCAGGACACTGGGGAAACAGCGCAGTGGAAGGAGGTGAAGGGGGGACTCCTTTCCCCCCACACACATACCACAGCCCTGCTCCAAACTGGGCCCCTGTGATGAGTCAGCCTTGAGTTCTCATGGGGAACTTGCAACTGTGTCCCATTAGAGCTTGGGTGCCCAGTATGGTGCCAGTGTGTGCCATGGTGCCAGCTGACACCTTTCCTGATTCCCGCCAAGTACTTTACGGAAGTAGGAGGGCCTAGGAGTGGCGGTGGCTCAGCAGGACTTCCGATTTGCCGCGCTGATTGAAAGGCATCTTGTTCAACCGAGCTCTTGCCCGAAATGTCAGATTTTGGCCCTGTTCACATGTGGAATTTGCGGCAGGATAGGCACAAATGTCGGGCGGAGTATACGGGCGCGATCACAAGGACACCTCTGGCAAGCGTAGCACACCCAACTCGTAGCATCCACCCGAAGAGCTGGAGTTAAAAAATACCCGGGAAAGCCTACTAGCAAACGGTTTGCTATGGGCCGTCGATGGAATACCTACGTGCACTCCTCTCGCCGTGTTGACGCGCGCCGACAAACAAAACCCCACTTTGCCGCGGTGGTATCTGATCGCGTTCTGGTGCGTTAAATTGCACCGGCGCAAAAAGCCATGCCTCCCCCGCGTTATCTGGCCCATGTGACCGGGGCCTTTATCTGTCAAATGGGATCTGAAGAAGTGGGCAAAGTGACTCACAAAAGCTCCTCCCCTGCCACATATTTTGTTAGTCTTAAAGGCGCTACTGGACTCTTTGCTCTTTTCTACCGTCAGATTTTGCAGTTAGAGTTACATAGGACCTCGCTACTTGTGGCCCTGCTGCGGTAGCCATTTTATGACTGGCTCCACCTCAATATGGAAGCCATATTGTGAGGGTGGTCCCCGGACTGTGTCGGAATTCCAGAGGTGCCCATGGGCTGGAAAAGGTTGAGGACCCCCTGTAAAGCAATCTCTCTCCATCGCCTCTCTTTCCTGTCTCAAAACAGCTGGTTTTCAGGTGGACAGCTTTTTAGGGGCCAATGGTTGCTGATCAGCTGTCTGGTGGTCACCTCTTTAAAGGGTGTGTCCACAGCTCCACAGAACCCAATGGATGCTGGATATGGCATCACAGGGCACTGGATGGGTTTGCCATCGATCCCATAGCTCCTCCCCTCCCCAACATCATGACATCAAAGTTCGTCATGAACGTAACTCTTACCTCACTGGCTCCGGTGGTGAGGCTGGACACGCGGGGCGCGGTTTGCACAATCTGTTGTAAAATACTGACGTAGGTCTGGACTTCCATGAAGTTCTGTGGGAGAACAAAACAACTTCCGTCACAAAAGAGATTGTATCTCTGATACCGAACTTAGTGTGGACACCCGATCGGCCTAGCCCGCTGCAGCCCAGAACTCCTGAGCTCAATTTAATGGTTAAAGGTTCTTTTCTTAGAGTCAGAAAATAATGGAATGGAATGTACATTTGAAATTATAAGCTCTTAGAAAGTGTCATTTTAAAGTCTGCTGAGAAAAAGGAGCTGGAGGTACCCTTCATAATCAAGAAACCTTTGAGAAGCCACTGGACCCCGAGACCAGAGCGAAAGAGGCTTAAGACTAGCAGTTCTATTCCTTTGGATGGAAGAAGATTGGGCTGCAGTGAACGTCTAAGAGGATATCAAGAATTTAGAGAGTTTTAGTATAGATGTAAAGGCGGAAGGACTTTGCAAATTTCCTTTATGAAATGAGCTGGAGGAGATGCTCGGGAAATCTTCTCTTAACAAGTAACAATCTAACGTATAAGCTTAGAAAGACAGGACTTCACAAAGTATATTGTTTAACAGCCTTTTCTTTTACTAACAGCATTTTAACAGGGCATGATCTCCTAACCTTGGGTTTTTAGCTTAGTGTGGGTTATCTTTTCTTTCTCCTTAATTGTAGTCCCCCTATCCCCATTTTTTCTTGGTAGTTTATGTAGCATTATAAAAAAAATAAAAAATAAAAAATCCCTTAAAAAAATAAAAGAAATTATAAGCTCTTCAATTGAGGGACACCTGAGAAGTTAAGCTATGAGAGAGAAAGAGTCTCAGTATTCTCAAAACAAATATCTTCCTGTGTAGAGCAGAGCATCTGGCCCCGGAAGGTCTGCAAAGAGCTAAGTTCCATGCATCTTATCAGGAACCTCCCTAGTTTCAGACTGAAGCAAATAAACCAAGAATGATGCTGGAAGGAGGCCCCTTAGTGCATTGATATTTTCTACTGTTCTTGGACCAGATAAGCTGATGCAACTATAGACACTTAAGATCCAGATAGGGGTTCACCAATAGTTTCAAGTTTCAAGTTAGCCTTTATTGGCATAAAATAACAGTACAAGTTATACAATTTTAGGAAACAGTTAAAACACCTATAAAAATCTACGACTTGATATTGTGCCATTAGGAGCTGATAAGGATGTTCTGTCTCTAGGAACCTTTGGCGCAGCTTTAAAGCCAAACAGAGAAACTAAGGCCCCGGTCACATGGGAGGTTTTGGTCTGGAAGAGGGACGGATCGGGGGCGTAGCAAACGGGCGCGATCCCACCGCAACATCTGGGAATCGGTGCGCACCCGTTCCCGATCCGTCCCTTCAGAATGAAAATGCGGTGAAAAAAGAACCTACTAACTTGTAGGACTTACCTGAAGCATCGCAGCAAGCGCGGCCGTGAGATCGCCGACGCGCTCATCTGCAGGAGCAATCGAAGCTCCCGGCCGAACTGCGCACGCGCACACGTGCACAGTTCGGCTGCCTCCCTCTCCCGTCAGTGGCTTCCCCCCAGCATCTGATCGTGCCGGGGAGGAACTGTGCAGTGGCTCAGGGGATCTGTTTGATCCCGCCGCTGCATGTCTCTTTTGGTGCGGCTTTAAAAAGCCGCACTTTGGCCGTACTTCCCCCCCCCTTGTGGCAGGGGCCTTAGCCACCTTCTCAGTGGTATCAGGACCGAGATCTTTTAAAAGTCTGTGGACCTTGAGTGCATCAGAGCAATCCACCATACTGGTTAGGATAGAATGTAGATAAGGTTCACCAATAGAGAAATGCCAGCTAAAATGATGCTCTGATGATGAAGACCTGTTGGACACCAATTGTATAAACTGTAATGACGTATAAACTGTAATGATGTCATTTGGGGTATATCACCTATTTCCCTTCCTGTTTGGGGCAGAATACAGCTTGGTGTTACCGGGTGCCAAGGTATCCAGTCCTGTATTCCCTGATTATTGCAATAAACAGATATTTATCCACTCCCTGAACTCCAACCGTGCATTCCTTATTCGGCCCCAGGAGCATACGGGGCACAGATCTGCACATCACGTTCAAGGGACCAAACTCATATTTTCCTATTTTGTTCCCCCCCTCTTCTGAAAATTATAGGATAACATTGAGAGGTGCTGGAGTTATCAGGCACGGATGAGGAAATGCCAAAGATGCATGGGGATACGATGCCATGGATAGGGTTGTCAAGTTCCACTTGGCCACTGGCAGGCGATGGAAGCTAGGGTTGCCAGATCCAGGCTGGGGAACTGTGGGAGATTTGGGGATGGACCCTGGGGAATGACAGGGACCCCAGTGGGGTACAATGCCACAGTCTCCATACTCCCCAAGCATCAATTTTTCTCCAGTGGGACTATAGTCTGGAGATGAGCTATAATTCTGGGGGATCCCCAGGTCCCCCCCCCCCACCTGGAGGCTGGCATCCCTAATTATGTAGGAGGGGGGAATTTGGGGAGGTGCAGCTTGTGATGCAGGGGGGGGGAAAGGAAAAATGGTGTCTGCAAATTGCCTCTTTTTACACAAAATGGCTAGCTAAAGTCATAGCTCATTTTGCAAGTGGACTTACCATACACACACACACACTAATCCCCCCACACACACTTCTCACTCACAATCCATTTGTCCTGCTTACCACAAAGTCCTGTTTTCTTAGGGTTGGGGAATTCGTGGAGATTTGGGGGTTGGAGCTGAGGAAGGTGGGATTTAGGAGGAGGAGAAGATTGGATTTATACCCCACCTTTCACTTCCCTTAGGAGTCTCAGGGTGGCTTACAAACTCCTTCCCTTCCCCTCCCCACAACAGACACCCTATGAGGTAGGTGGGGCAGAGAACTGCTCTTGAGAGAACAGCTCTGACAGAACTATGGCCTGCCCAAGGTCATCCAGCAGGTGCAAGTGGAGGAGTGGGGAATCAAACCCGGTTCTCCCAGATTAGAGTCCGGGCACTTAACCACTACACCAAACTGGCTCTAAGGAAGGGACCTCAACAGGATACAGTGCCACAGAGACCACCCTCCAAAGCAACCATTTTCTTCAGGGGTAAACAAATCAACAAATTAATCTGTCACGCTGTACAAATAACACTAGAAACTTCTGTCTTCTCATACAGTTCTAATCACAATGATAAACAACACACACAACAAATGGTTTTGCCCTCATGCATAAATGACATCGACACCAGATTAATAGTGACCTAATAGTCCTTGAAAGTACAAGTCTCTCTTTCGAATGATGCAGTCCCCAGCTCATGATGCAGAGAAGAGTTTCAAATAGAAAACACAAAGAGGTAGGCCTGGCTCAAGAATAGCCACAGTGTGAACCAAAGGAGAGGCAACGGCACACCTAGGTTGCTTCGCCATTTCTTAGGGCTTCATTGGGCCGCTTTCCTTAGTGGTGGGGTTCACTAAGCTCTGTTAAGATTCAAAATGACACGAAGTCTACAAGTATATTCCAAACAGCTGGGAATCTGGCTCATGAGAGAACAGCTCTGAGAGAACTTGTGACTGACCCAAGGGCCATACCAGCAGTTGCATGTGGAGGAGTGGGGAATCAAACCCAGTTTTCCCAGATAAGAGTTTGTGCTTCTAACAACTACACTAAACTGGCTCTCCTGGGAATAGCTCTGGGAATAGTACATAAAAACGCATCAGTGGTAGGTTTATAAAGGTAAAGCTACTCCATACATTGGAGAAGAAGAAGGA